GAGTTCAAACTATTGAGGCCAAGTTAACAAAGTCTACAATGTGTATGGTAAATATTTTTCTGATATTCAGTTATCAGTTAGAACATTTATATAATATCTGCTGGTTTAAAATGCATTGAACAAATGTATGTAGAAACAAGCTCAAACCTTATGTCTTCCCATTGTATGTGTTCATACATTCATATACACCTAATATTAAGCAAACATTAGGGGAAAGTACTGTATTCTTTTATCAATACTTTCCACATACATTATACTTGGCGTGACAAAACTATCATATTCAACGAGGAATAGAGGAGTTTTTTTTATCCTGTAATAAGTCTACTAGTCAGTGGCTTTGTTCCTATCCCATACTCCATCATTTCCATGAAACGTATGCTTTCTATAAATATCTTGTCTGTCTACAAGCTATGTTTGAATACACCGCAAACCCATGTGGTGCTTTCATATAATTCATCTTTGTGAACACAAATGTTTTCTGTCTTTTCCAAAGGTAATTCATCGTGTCCATGATTCAAAGGCTGACTGAAGGCAGGGTATTGTTACTCTACTGTCCCTACACAAATGGTTACATATCACATATGTACCTGACATGCAGGGCGTCGTGAAACCAAGTCTTTATGTCACTCAGGAAGTATCCATGGTTGTTTGCAGAGTCAACAAACACAATCATAACAGTTTGACCCTCATCCAACACGCAGACAGCCATAAACCAAACTTTCCCGGATGTTACACACTGGAGATTCGCTTTAAACATCAGGGAAAAAAAGAGCGGCTCTTTTAAGGTAACGTCAGAGAGATGCACATTTTCAGACAGAAACTGGTCACTAGAAACAAGTGCAATAGAGATGTAGTGATCAGTAAACACTATTCAAAACAGCTCTCATTTCCTTCTCATTCAAGTTGAATGGAAAAGTTGGAGAATCTATGTTCAGATTACATTTATTTACGCTGTTGGTTTGGGTGGCATTTTGTCCAGCACAGGACAAGACTGGAAACATCTGAAAAATGATTGGATCCCATTAAAGTCTACATATACTTTGTTATGGTGATTTGAATACACAGTCTGATTACACTGTGTAGCACAACAACATTTTATTAAATATTATCAAATTGCTTTTATCCCAGGGAGACAAGAAGAGCTTGTCCTTTAGTTTCCAGAGACTGGCCATCTGCTGCAGCCCTCAACCACTCATCTGTCTTGAATTATACAGCAGTCACCACAATATAAATACCCACTTATCATCTCGGTAGTTTGTCCTACCCTGATACAGGCCTGAGATGACAGAGACAATAGCGGACGCCCATTGCACCAAGTCCCCCTGGAGGCATGTCTCGACTCACGGGCTGCATTTAACTTTTATTACCCAAGGAGATGGATTGGCTGCTCCCCACCCTTATTTGGTGGTGCGGTGTACGTATACGAGGGTCTGTGGTTGTAAAGCGAAGGCAGCGCGGCTCAGCCTGAGCGGAGCCAGGTAACTGAAGAGCCCTGCCACCAATTTGAAAAAGCTCACAGATAATGTGACTCAAGGTTGAGTTTTTTCTTTGTGTTGGTTTTTTGTAGATTGATTGATTTTGAAAAGATACATTCACTTGTTGCCCTGCAGGTTTGGTTGTCTGGAACAGCAAAGTGGACCCACATCTAATGTTGGCAAGCATTGTTTTACTTACCATTAGGCCTAGCTGCAAAAACATTTTCCTAAGTAAAATACGTTTTGGCATTAACACTATTTCCACGTTATCTTCTTTAACACTTTGCTTCCCACTCCTTTCATTTCAATTATGAGTTATTGATAATCCCTGTTTTCGACATGACAACTACCTTTTTGGTGTAAATGCATTCACACCAAACACAAAAAACGCATAAACTGCACTTAAGTCAAAAGCTTAGGTAGCAGATGAGGCGCTGCTAAGCTATGCTAGTTTTAGCTGAACTAGCTAACTGTTAGCTTGCTTTTTTTTCTCTACCATTGCATATCTTTGCTGTTGCCTTAATTATGTGTTACAGTTGTGGGATGTTCAACTGAATTATCAATAGGTATATGTTAGATCTTCGAAATATAAAGTTTTGAAACACAGAGAAGTTAATGTGGCTATCTCACCAACTAGCTTAAACTTGATTTTGCCCTCTTGTTTTAAGGACGGTTCATCTGTGACTAAGTGCAGCTAAGTGTGACTGCAGAAGTGGCAATTTCCGAGCCACAGAGCAGTTATTCTGAGGTTTGGTTAGTATTCATAAGCGGTCAGCACAGGGAACTGACAAAACTAGGAAGAAGCTGGAGCCTGCAGCTCAGCTTAAATACAAACTAAGCGGATGAAATGCAGGTGGACAGGAGGCCAGATGGCTGCAGAGCTAATGGTTACCAGGTGAAATGAATAAGGCCAGAGCAGACAATCAAAGTCAGGTGGGAAAACACAAAGGCAGGAAGTAAAAAGCAGACATGCCTTAAAATGAGTACACTTACAAAATAAAACAGTAGGCTACATATCAACAAAAGCCAGCATCATGACACTAAATATTTTCTTTTATGACTGAACTAGTCTTTAATCCCATTATTTTTATGGTGTAGCCTACTGATTATTATACACTTTTTTGTGCTTGCAACACTATACTGATGCAGTTTGGTTTTACACATGAAAATAAATTGTCACCTACAAAAACAGATATGTGTTATGTGGTTTGAATGCAAGTCAGTTATTAAAGCATGGTCCACAAAGCAGAGACTCATCTAAGAAGGCAGTCATGCTATTCCCAAGAGCCTCTTCTCAGCTGCAGCTGCACCAACGTGTTTTGAACTAAACACACCGCCAAAGTGCTACACCTGACATGTGTGCCCTTTCAGAGCGGCAGGACCTCTTCTCTATGGACGGGAAGTTCATTTCCTCAGAGGATGGAGCCACACCTATTCAATTTTATACCATATTATTATTTTACCCCCATAAATATAGCCCATTTCTGTTCTTTGTGCTGTTCTTTGCTGCGCTGAAAGACATGTTTCTAAAGCTCAGTATATCTCAGAGAAAATCAATGCATAAACAAGAAAAGCTTTGTACATGTGTGGAGAAGATTGAAGATTGATTATTTCTGAAAGTAAAAATGGATGTTTACACTTGCAGTGCAGGAAGATGCTCCTCCCTTGACCTCTTTACAAGAAACCGCAAGACACAGAGAGCTTTGAGAAGGTGATAATTGAAATGTCATCACTCTCTGAAACATCTCATGAGATCGTTCTGTGGATTCATAAACCAGAAGATTATTGTGAGCTCGTTCTTGTCCTCGCTCAGTCTTAAATCATAATAGCAGCACAAAACAGATGGGGAAATGTGAAACAACTGAACAAAGAAACTAAATTATGGTAACACGAGAACATATAGCAACCTGATAAAACTGTAAATCTCACAGTCACTCAGAGATACAAAAGCAACTTCTGTGGGACTGCTGCCTGCCACATAAAGGGAAATATAGGAACAGACAATACACATAAAACATTTCAGCCTTTCCCTGGCGGCATTGCAGCACTCACATTCAGACACTGAGGGGTTAATGTAATTTATGGGACTCAAGGCAGAAAGGCAGAAGTAAACAAAGAGAGCCGAGGACTGGAGCTTCTCTGGCTGCTGAAGTTGAGGCGTGACCCTTGAGATAGGCACCGGGCTATCATGAGGGCGTCTCCCTGTGTGACTAGCCAGGAGAACAGGGAGGCCTTTGTCAGGGCTGTGTGCGCAAAAGTGCTGAGCCAAGCAGGCCCTCAACCCTCACCCCCTCCCAACCATGTGTTTTTTTTTGCTCTTTCTCCCTGGAGACACTCACAAATGCTCACACACACACTTGTCTGTATTTACCAGCGGTCCCAGGGGACGAGGCTTTTTACTTCAACTGGTGAGAGGTTAAGGAGGGGAATAAAGAGCCAGTTTTTTGGTTAAAGTCTGGATAAGTTAGCATTGCATTCTGGGATGCAACTTAGGCATTAATATAGCCCGCTGCTGCTAAGAGTTTCTAATAGTCTCTGTTTCCAGTCAAGTTGACTTTGAGAGAAATGTCATCCTGCCTTGATAAGAAATGTATTTTCTGGTCTGCTTGCAAATTTCAAAGTTAAAACAACAACTGCTCTGTCTTTTTTTAATGGTTCCCGATATCTACTCGTTGATCAAATTGAAGTAAATGAGGACATTCAATTGTTCTAAAGTTCAGTCTGTATGCAATGTGTTATGAGAAATAAAACACAATACGGTAAGTAATTTGACAAACCAATTAGTGTGTGTTGTTTGTGTTGAGTGTGACTCTTTACTTATCTTAACAATGTTTGCAAAAGCAGAAACGACTATGACTGTCTGTTTTAGAAATAATACGGAAAATGCCTCAAAGGTGACAGTTGTCACTGGTAATGAAACTTTTTTTGTATCAACTGAAATCAGCACGCCCCGCAGCACAACACACTTCAATGTGCTAATCTTTATGGGGTTCAGGTCAGGCCTTAAATCATGAATTTTCTTTTTTCCTGAGGCTGTGTTTCTGCACACACACACACACACACACACACACACACACACACACACACACACACACACACACACACACACACACACACACACACACACACTTCCCCACTGCCCCTGTCTACACAAAGCAGCTGCCTGAGGGAGAGCTGGTGACAGAAGAGTGAATCACTGTTTAGGTAAGGTTGCACCTTTCCCCCAGAGGGAAGAGCGTGTAAAAATGTGCTAAGCTCCCAACATTGCCTTCAGGGCTTATGAAATGCTCCTATTGTTCATGCTAAATTAACTTCTTTGGGACTTTCTGGGGGTTTAAATCACTGGTGTCTAGTCATAGAACAGGTTTTATTCAGTCACTGTGACTTTATGGGATTGTTATGGTTATGGCAGCAGAAACGTGTTAGGTGACGAACACAGGAATGATTATGTATCATGTGTGTTTGTGTGTGTTAGAGAACTCATCGTTTGTCTTTAGTAAAAGAAACAAAGCACAAGCCTTTTAAATTGTCCATAAAGTTTTAATGAAAAAAAAACAGCAATGTACCCATTTAACAACAGAAGAAATTAAGAGAACTTGTAAGATTTCGAGAGCCAAGCTCTTATGTACAGCATATTGCACTAGAAAAAGAAACAAACATCCCCCGTCCCTCTGTTCCCTCCATCACCTCATGTCCTGCGCTGTTTGAAAACTGTGCAGTCGACACAGAGCAGTCCCAAAGATGACACAGACAATGCTTTAACAAAAACTGCTACATTTGGACTGGGTCTCACTTCATTAGGACACATGAATGTGAAATCCTTGAGACCACTCTGAACGTAAAGAAAGAAATGTGAAGAAAATACAAACTCTCTGCGCACGAAGCACGGCAGTCTGAAATAAGTTCCACTGTTCAGTTCATGTATTAAAAGAGATATTGTGGTTTTCACTCCATTAAATTACATTCAAACCCTTAAGATACAGATTTTTTTCAGGAATGTTGGACATGCATTTTTACTCCATTTACATATATTGAAAAAAGCCCTTGAACTGAGAGTGACACAGCAGACTTGGCAATATCCAAAAGTGTTAAATGCCACAACATTGAAAAAAAAGCAATCCTAAAAAAAAAACTTTTGTTGTTGTAGATCTTTCTTCGTCTTAATTACAAAAAGATATGGAAAACAATTGTTAAAAATGTTTTATAAAGATAGCCACAATAGCTGTTTCAAATTCATGTCAAATGTATAAAAAAAACACCAAATCACAGCACTTGACAGAAAAGATGCACTTAAAAAAATGGAATCGAAGAAATTTGATATTAAAGACACTGAAGGTTGAACGAATAACAAAATGTTTCACTTGAGTCAGGGTTGCAACAGTGGTTGGTAACCGACTGAGTGGCTGTTCAACCCAGCTCACATACAAATAATACTGGGCACCATGGTGACTCATTCCTCCTTCAAATGTAAACCCACAGCCCTACTAGATTGTAGATAATAAAGTACAAGAACCCAGGCGAGCTAGGCAGATCCAGCATATTACAGAGTTTCTAGAGGGGAAGTTCAGCACAGGAGTAGAAAGAGAGAGGCGCAAAAAATACAGTTTTTACAGTGCACATTGATTGCAAACAGTCATTTCTGATATTGAGAAGCGCGGTTAAACTCGCCGTTTGTGCTGAGAGACGTCAAAGGTTGAGCCTGTGCCTCGTGAAACAGATCTTTTGTGTATCAAGGCACAACGAACACGACATACTGTTTGTGTCATGTCATTTAGTATGGTAGCATGTTGTTCTCACAGAGCCCAAGTGAAACAAGGGCTGTGGCAAGTGACTTTGAATAATGATGCCAAGTGTTGATGATGATGTGGTAGGTCTGTTACTCACAAGGCACATTTTTGTACATTTGATTGTCTGCTGTTTCACGTGATTTGTAAAGACTCACACCGTTAGAGTGAGAACTCACGAGGCACATGGCTTTTAGTCCAACCTCCCCATACACAGGCATCAAACACACAACTGAATGCGCATCAACAATGAGAAGAAAAGGACTGTACACACTGAGATAGCATCTATACAGTAGAACTGAGCAAATATACACAAAATAAATTAGAATAAATTATCCAAAAAGAAACCAAAACAAAATGAAACCTGTTCTCATTAAGGACAGGGAGTAGTTAAACATGGCGTGAATTGGCTCAGCGTTCATTGTTTGCAGGAAACAACATTTTGGTTTAGCTACTCCAGTCGTAACCTCTACATCTGTTGATGTCGAGAGAATGTACTTTGGATAACATAAAAAGTCCAATGAAATATAATTTATTCTAACTCAAAGGCAGATTATTTGCAACTCATAGTAAGCATCAGGTAATTAACATGGTCCTTAACTACTCCCTGAAGAAAAAAACAAAAAACCCATCAGTGTCTTCAAAAGTTAATATCATGAATCTACAGCAGACTGAAATAATACATCCAATGACGACATTTTTAAATCTTATTTAAAGTCTTTAAAGACTTAATAAACCTTACTTTAAACAGTGGCTGTGTCGTTGCAAAAAGGGTGTATAAACCTTCTCTTAAAATGTGTCTGTGTATGCGAGTAAAAATGTTTTTCTGAACTGTACAGGAGCTGTTCTTACTAAGTTCTCGGTGAAGCTGGATATACCACTGGCAGTTTGGTGAAAGAAAGCACTTGAATGAAAGGTCGATACGTAACATGTATCAGCACATCGGGATTGAATCAGTGCTCGAAACACTTCCACCTGGAGCGAAATAAAATAAAAATGCATCTCTGTAACTTCGACCCAAAATCTTTCTGTAACAAAGACATTTGAAAGAGGTGTAATCTCAGTTTGATTGCAAATGCAACAGATCCCTAAGATTTTCCTTTCCTTCCACTGGCTTGAATATTGCTCGTCCATAGAAATGCTGATAAATGTCATCTCTCCCACAAGTCTCCCACCCAATGCAGCAAAGGGCTAAATTGCGATTGTCACTCCAGCCAGAGAAAGAAAAACTGAAAAGCTTTAGAAAACGATGAAATCTCTCCAAAGCTTTTCAGCTGTGTGATTGTTTTTCCAGTTCCCTGATTGTGATCCCACAAAGGAGATTTGTTTGTGCTTATTTGGTTTCAAAATGACTTCAGATTTTGGAAACAGTAAGCACGCACTCCTACAGACACATGATCACAAATTCAAAGAGTAATCACGATTATGTCGGGTATTATTCGACTAAAATACCTTCAGTAAACCTACATTCAAGTATATATGTGTTTCTCCTTTAAATCAACAGGATCTGAATCTGCACAGTGGGTCTTTAGGCCACTTCTAACAGCATGAGTGGAACTAGAGATGGAGAGGCTGATGGATGAGACTTGATGATGTCACTATGTCTAAAGTGGAATCTGGCACCGTCACAATGTCATGAAAACCATTCAGAAATGAGCCAGTGTGAAACAGTAAAGGATAAGTACAGGGCTTATTGTTTTTCTGAGAATAAATTAGAAATTTGCCTCGAGTCCTCAAGGTTTAAAGTCAGTAACTTCAGCACAGACATGTCCACGTCCAGTTTGACGCCAAAAAAAGTGGCCTAATCTTAAAAAGGAGTTTTTCACTGATTTCCTCGTTGCAAAAGAGTTGTACTGTGGCAGGAGAGAATAAGGCATTCCCTGGACTGATGGAGGTCCTTCAAGACTTGAAATACCAAATAAAAAGAGCAGTTTACTGTACAAAATAGGTAATCTTACAAACATTTCGAAAATATCTCTTCAAACGCAATGGCTTCTTCTCAGAGAGGCGAGAAAAAAAAAAAAAATTGTCAGTCTCCGTCCAGCGGTGACGAGTGTTTTCTTCATCTCATCTTCGTGATCAATAAGAAAACAAAATCCAAACCCGTGTTTCATCTTACAGTGCCATCTCTTTAAAAGTCTGGTCCCTTGTCCCTATAAGGAGGGGGAAAAGAAGCTCCTTCATCTCTGCGCTCCTCTCAGGCGGGGGAAGAGAGCCTCTCGTGGAAACAGAAAGCCAAACAGGGCCATCGTAAGGCGCATCCAGGCAGGCAGGTTCTGTCTCTGACCCCTCATGAACTGCAAAGAAAAAAAGCACATGAGGTTGTTAGCATCAGGGATTTATCAGCAGTAAGATAAAGACAATAACCCTAACATGGTTTTGAGTTGGAGCCTTGTGACCGGTGGTAAACCTTGCGATATCAAATGACCAGGTAGAATTGATGTTTCCACAACATTAGCTTGTGTCTAGCAAACATCTCTGTCTCACGCACATCCTGCAGTTTAATACCAAGGGCAGTGCCTCAGTGATTTCCTGGTGACAGAAATTAATTGTATTGCTTCATTTATTCATTCGATGAGAGGATGAAAATGACCAGACTGTTAAAACAACCCTCAGGATCTGCCACTCATCTCCATGATATCAATCCCCCCCTGGGGTTTGAGACATTCCCTCTTATTAAATGTCGCGCTGTTGACTTCTCAAACCTCAAAAGTGAAATGCTTTCAGAGAACGCACTGCCTATTTCATCACGGCTCTCTTGTAAAAGCAGAAAGTCAGACGAATAATTATCAAAACAAAGCCAGAGGAAAATGAATCTGCTCCCTCCTATGGAGCTGCCTTTCTCTCAGCTCTGTCATTTTCTTCTTTTGGGGGGCTACAGTACAGATGAAGGGGCTCCTGCTGCAGCCTGCAATCTCCTCTCCCCCCCTCCTCATCTCTGATCCTGCACAGCAGCTCCCACTGGCTTTCTGAACAGCCGTGCTCACATATTGCAGCCTGTTGCATAAGCACTCCTGCTAACCATATCTCCCTCTCTCTATCAAGGTCTCTACCAGCTTAGTAATCAGAGTCCGCCACAGGCTATTTGATGCAAAACTAGCAGCCTGCACTGAACTGAACGAGCACCGCTAAATGTAACCGTAATTGTCCTTAATTGCTCTTAATTCTACACTGCTGAGCTTATTTAAACACCACGTCGGTTTGTTCCTCTTTCTGCTGTCATTTGGGTGTGTAGTGGAGGATGGCGTGTACTTTGTTTGCCCTTTTTAGGCTAATTCCCTTCAAGCGATTAGGAATTCTGACACCATGTTGGCTGCTTTACTCAATGTTACTCCTTTACTCAATGGATTATCTTTTCCCCCCTCAAATGTTCCTACTAATTGCATTTTAAAACAAAAACACAATGTACTTCACATCTACTAGAATCCACATTTTAGCCCACACCAGCAACTTCTTCTCAGATAGGCAGTGGAAAAGTCTAACAATAGCACCAGACACAATACAGAAGAAGTGATTGGATATCATAAAGGACCTTTATTTTGATTTTGTTCTCCCTTTGGAGTACAACAGCAGTATCCTGCAGGAGAGGAGTGCAGACAGCAGACAAAAAAGAAAGCGTCTCTCTTATCTCTTTGTCACAGAGTTACAAAACAAAACACACACAAAGACACAAACGCAGAGGCAGGCAGCGAGACAACTGAGGTATTGTGGGTAGCCGTGAGTCAGACACTATTTTTAGACACCATATAAACAGACGGCCAAGTCTACCCAGACACAGACCTGCCGCTCACTCTTGTTCGTGATAGTCACATTGATCTCACCGGCAGCCATTGTCAAAACATCTCACCGTTTATCACTTTACTTTTATTCTTTCACCCACTCTCTTTCACTTTGTTTACCCTCTCCTCCTCCATTAACCGCACAGTGAAGTGCTTTTCAAAACGTATCAACCACACCTTGATATTGACGCAGACCCCCGTGGCAAAACAGTACAGCAGCAGATAAGGAACGCGATACCCCTCCCAGTGTATTTGTACTCATTAACTTGAGTTCATAGTGTGGACTCTCAGTCAGGCCACTGAGTGCTTAACAAACACTGATACCGCTAACCCCCTGGACCTGTTATAAAACACACTTTGTTGCCACATCTAGATGTACAGAATGGATGTGGAACATGTTGTCAGCTGCATGTGAGTTTCATTTCTCGATATGCACAATTAACCACATATCGTGAACTACACAAGGTATGTGGTGCTGAGCTATTCTCTCGGGAGCTTGGCAAACAGTGAGCCTACACACTCAATTACCTTCATCGTCTTCACAAGTCCCACATCGTTTCATGCTTCATGAGGTACGTATGTTCGGTATAAAGAAGTCTACTTTCAGGTAAAAGTACACAAGTAATAAACAGATGGTTGACATCTTTTAAATTATACAGCGGAGACAAAGAGATGAAGGAAATCGGTCAGGAGTGGGTGGGTTCTGTAGACTAGAAAACATATTAATATTCCTTTTGAGTGTAATGAAATAGTGCCAATGATGCAGTATGGGAAGTGTAGTCTTTAACACTCTGCTGAGATTTAGAAGACCAAATGACCTTGACCAAAGGGCCAATATTTCATTTTAAAAAGGGAGAAAGGGACAAAAACAATATATTCCTTTGACTGAATGATTTTGAGTTTTGTAGGTTTATTATCCTGTATGAAGTCACAAAATGGTGCTCTATTAGTGATTTAGGATTTTTCCTTCAGTGTCGCCAAGAAAGTGGTTGAATCACAGCAAAGGCTATTTTTATCCAGTTGTGGTCAATTCGGCTGGCAAAATGTTCTGCCCTTTTCCCCCAAAAAGTGAACCACAAATTGGCACAAGGTTGTTTTGAGATGTGTCTCTAATCAAGTAAATGCTGACACACAAACGTTCTATCCTGTGTAAAAAATCAGTTTGAGTCCTAGCAAACCAAATAAATGTTAATGAAGGTGTGTGGCGCAGTGGGTTTTGCATTGGTGTTAGGATCAGAAGGCCACAGGTTCAAACCCCACTGCAGTCAGCATGTCGTTGTGTCCCTGGGTAAGACACTTCACCCCAAATTGCTCCTGTGGGGATTGTCCTCAGTATTGAGTATGTAACTCGCTTTGGATAAAAGCGTCTAACAAGTAACATGTAATGTCTAACGATTGGCATTGTGTTATGCATAAGGAGATGTTGAACAGGCCACTTGTGTTCACACTGTTTACACTTTGACACAGGTTCTTTAACATAGTGTTTGAAGTAGTGGGATCATTTAAGGATCCACTTCACTGCGTGGGAGTGAGGCTTACCAGTTCAACGTGATCCTGGTGGAACTTGTCTCCGATCTCCCGAAGTTTACGACCAATTTGCGCCTCGACGCTCACCCCTGCCTGCTCCTCGGGTCTCTCTGCCATCCTGTCATCTTCCTCCCCTCTGCCCTCCTCCTCTTCAATTTGTCTCTCTCCCCGGTCCTCCATGGGCTCAAACTGAGCGGGGAAATGTGAGCGTAATCCAGCGTTGCCTAAAAGGAAAACATCAAGCTTCTTAAAACTTGTGTTGTTGGTGTTGCATCTTTAAAATAGCTGTTTTCAGTGTCAGAGCCAAGATGAATATAAGGTGAAGAGACATTACTGATTCTGTTTAGTTAAACCACTTATGTATGACTAAAAAGTGAAAAACCTCAGTCAAGTATCTAGATTAATATGAATGGCTTCAAACACAACTGTGTGTGACAAAAACAGTATCTACTTAACACGGTTGCTGTATTGCTTTCTGAAACACAAACAGGTTTTATCAGATTTTCGCAGATGGGAAAATTACAAAGAGTCCACAAACAAGTGGAAGGGTTGGTAGGTGGGAAAGCGCAAACCACATTATTAAATCATCAGTGGCCCTAGTAAACTGCTACCTTTCCGTTGTGTCATTGAGTTTACTCATTGCCTCAAGCGTCCTTCTGCGCTCAGAGGGAAAACTATTTTTCTATGTTATCATGTGTGCTGAATGCCCTGCTGTTCCTCCTCCCAGAGGACTATAATACCTCTAAGAAATGAGCAAGAAATGGAACCGGGCCAAGTGCATGACATCCATTACTGAGTAAATTACAATGGAAGACAAAGTAATAACAGTGTGTGGTGTTTATGTATTTCATAACTTTAAACGCTGAACAATATGTACCTCTCACACTATGACACTGAGTCAACAAACAAACAATATTCTACTTCAACATGAGTTCAATTCAATTAGGGTGATGTCACACTGATTCGATTAGAGATGGGAATACTATATTGGATTAAAAGTGAAGGACATATTAGTGTGGGTATGTGCCTTTATGTTAGCATGAAATTTGCGTTGTCTGTATTTAAAATACGTAAACAGAAACAGAGTGTCATATGGTTAACATCACATCAATATCTATCAGATCTAAATTGTTGGATGACATATTACAAATCTACAGTGTTAACTGTTTCTTAGAATGCTGAGTTTTACAAGTTCTCAGCGTGCGTATAATAGGACACGGGGATCTCCCTGCTGTAAGGAAAATACATTTCATAGGTTGTTCTAATTGTGGTTTTCAGTAATCATTTTAAATTGAATTCAGTTTCTCTGAAAGCCTTAAATCAAATAAAACCCCTGCCTCCAATTTTCATTCTATCCGACACTCCTAAAACCAGATTGACAGTTTTAATCACTTGGGTCTTTGAGGGCAGTTCTCAATGAGTAACCTGCCGGATAAAAGGATAAAAGGAATGACTAATAGTGTCAGATCTCACTAGAACATTAAACCCTTACACTCAGTTTCTAAAACCATAAGCCCACAACACTTTCCGCAGGCTCACATGATCTCCCCCCTCCTTACCGTGAAAGGGTATGCGAGGCTGCCGATGCATGCCGCAGGGCAGTGAGTTGATGCCGATGCTGTTGTTGTTATGGCTGTTCGTCGTGATAGCAGCCATGGCCTGTCCAGCCGCAATCTGTGTAACACGTTCTTCGTATTTGACGTCCATAAAGGGGGTTCCCCAGAGCTGCGAGATAGGCCGTGACATGTCCTCCTCCTCATCATCCATCCGATGCCTCAGCGGTAAACTCCCTGAAGGGGTAAAAATGAGCACAAAGATTGAAACTTTAGAATGACATGAAAAGTGTTTTTGAAAGTGTTTTTGTTGTGAAAATATTAGACACATTTGTTGGACTGTGTTTGACTTTATCATCTTTAGATCGCAGGTAAGTAAGTTCCAAATGTCATTGTGTTATCAGTGAAAACGTTGCCCTCTGGCAGATAGAAAATGATCGCTCCCTGTCTACATTAAATGAAAATAAATCCTGAGTCATTCATGCCCAGGCTAATGTTGTGTGTGGTGATACTGAAAACAAACAAGCAGAGATGAGTAACCTCAAGAGGCACACAGATGGATCTGCCAATGTAAACACAAGATTAAGCTATCATCTCTTATTATATAGTGATGAGTAGCCACAGGAGCCAAACATATGGAAACACCCTGTGTAGGGGCACCCAGCAGGCAGATAAAAATGCCACGCCAAATCTGCCACACTCACGTAGCAGATTTTGCCAAGCTGTTGCTGCCAAATTGTAATTGAGAGCCAAAAGATCCACTGAAGAGGCAATTTCTGCCTCACAACTACCTTAATCTGTTCCACAGAGAGGAGTCACAGTCAGGAGATTAGCTTCCTCCAGCACAATTCCACGGCTCAACATTAATACCTATGCTTGTTGTCCCCTTTCCCTCTCTCAACCATATAATAACTGGATGGCTGCCTGTCCACACTTCTGTCTACACTATAAACGCATGCACACACAGCAGCGGGTGGTGTTTCAGTGAAACCCCAGTGAAACCAAAGTCCTGGCTAGACTGTCATGTGCTGCGTGCAGTGGCCACTTCATGAGGGAGATAACGAGTTTCACTCCATCCTCAACTGTAGCTGCTCAACGCAAAAACACTCGCACTCTCTTCCTCCTTGGCCACATGCCACAACATGAATAGCGTTTCATCTTTTTTTCCAAGGGTGTCTGTCTTTTCCTTTTGTTGTGTGAGTGGAGACAAATGGGCAGGGTTGACTGGCAAATGCAAAAATTGAAACTGGATATACTGGAATAGTGTTTACTGAGCTTGGCGAAACCAGTAGTGTATCTATTTGTGAAAGTGTCCTTGTGCATTATGTCATATCATATGGAGTCAAAGGAGGAAACTACATCTCGAGCACCTGTGAAAAAACACGGTCTAATATCCAGGTATTATTATTATAGTGTAAGATGTCAGTCTCTGAGTCACTTTTTTGGTAAACAAAAGAAATATTATAGAGCCACACATCCTCTGGCCTTGATTGTTCCTAGGGCATTTAAACAGCCCATTTTGTCACTGCATACTAATTATTTATGCATTACAGATATTAAAAACAGCCCATAATCTGCATGAACTTGTCCTCCAGGTAAGTAAAGTAGTACTTCATTTGACATTATAAAAGCAGTAAGGGCTCTTCAACAGTACCACAAGTTTCACCGCCAATCAATGTGCACTTGTGTTGTGTGGCATTGACAGCCCTGTCTTGAATTTTCACTGGCAGTCAACAGAAGACTGGCAAGTATTATCATTGTGTCAGACACATAAAAACAAACATAGAAAGGGAGACACACAGAAAGACAACACACACACATACACACACAAACCCCTACACACACAGTGCCTGGGGCAGAAGGGAGGCCTGGCAGCCACCACAGAGCTGGTCAGAGGCTCAAAGCTGGAGAAGAAAGTGGCTCCCTCTGCTGCACCATCTGTGCACCGGGCTCTCCTCCATTCACCACTCAGGGTGGGGGTGCATTCAAGGTGAGCTGTGCTGATACTTACCCTACTGCCTAAATGTAACGGGTAATCCATATTCCGTGGATATCTTTGGCAAAATTACAGTTGCTAGAGACGTCGTGAACACTACCTTAAACTATCACTGGAAAAATAAAGCCAATGTAATGGTTTAAAATAAATTACGTTTGTTTATGTGTATGATGATATGTTGTTGTTGATACAGTTAAAATGCAATTTAGATGCAGAATAACTGCGGTTTTCCTTCTCGTGTTGCAGTTGCAAATCGTTCATGAAGTTCGCTCCGGAGGAGCACAGGGATTGTGCTGCATCTTTACCCGCATTAGAAGCACAACGCCCCGGGCAGCTCACAGCGGTAACACCGCTCATACAGACTTCCATACACATCTAGTGAAGAATCCTTTCGAAACAGGAAACATGGTACCGCTAACCACAGATTAAATTGTCAATATAAACTTTTTTTTTTCGTTAAAAAAAGCATTTAACAGTTTAGCCCGATTCATGCCTACCTATTTACAAAATTGTTAGAATAATGCCACTTGCATAGTACCCATTATCGTCCGTTGACACTTTCTCTACCACTTCGCCTGACATCTTCTCTGCCACTAAACAAACATTCGTGAGCCGACAGTTTCACTCAGGCAAAGCAGATACTACTTTCTACTCAATACTCAGTAATGTTATAGTGTGTAACAACTCTAATAAGCTGTCATTTTGTGTAATGTCAAAACACTACTGAGCAGCTGTTGTGTCTCAAACACCGGGAAACATCAGCCGGGACGTGGGGAATGCAAGCGCCGAGGTGATGGATAGAAACGGTCACATTGACATAATCGCTTCGTCCGTCAAAACAAGAGGAAAAAGCCTTGCTTGGTGTGAAGAACAGAGCAGAAATGTATCTATAAATGCCCTTTTTCAGCCATTATGCCAACGCTTCTGTGAGTCCGCTCACCCCGCGTCTCTGCCCGGGCATGCCCCGCACATTGTTGACAAAACTCCCGCAAACAACGAAGAACTACGGGACGGAGGATTTCTCTCTTTAAATTTGACTTAATGTTCACTCACCGCCAGCAAAAGCGCGTTCCGTTGTGATCGGTGGTATCTTGACAACTTGCCGCTACCTTGTTTCCTACGGACTGTGTTGACGCGACTTGTATCCCTCTTTGCATTACAGCTACTGATACATGTTTGCTGACTAGAGTGGGTTGTTTTTTTGGCCGTGTTAAAGCAGCAGTCCGCCCCGATGACAGGGAACCGCCCCTTCTTAAAAATGTGAAAGGAACAGAGTCAGCTACAGTGTTATGCAAATACAAGCCACACTGAAAGGATATTAAAAGCTGTTATTGCTTTTACAATTCATTTGCATTTCTATGTCAGCAATTGATAATGCCTTTCTAACGAACATGTAGTAATGCCGTTTTAAATAGGCACATTTTTAATTTAAAATGGTACTTTAGTATCAAAATAAGAGCATTCAATGTAGACACTATGTGTTATTGCTATGTTTTTTCAGTTAGAATTGTATGTGTGCATTACATAACATTTTACTATAATAGTTGATCCCTGTTGCACTAATATCAAACATTGTAAGCGACTGCATTTTCGTGTATTTATTTCAATTAAGCACAACTTGTGTTTTTTTATTATGCAAATGATTTTGTAGTAGTCAAACTATCCCTGTAAAAGTATTATTTATCAAAGGAAGAAGGTTACTCGAGTAAAGCATCCTCAAATGTGTGCTTCTAAAAATGTACATTTACCAAGCCACAGCCCCCAGCAATGCAAATGAGTTGATGCCATATTTTGCCAAATGAATCAATATCTTTAAATGTGGGTGTTTGTGCCTGATTAAGTGTAGCATTTAAAATATAAGTATTAAATGCTCAGACTGACTTAAATTTGTCTCTGCATAAGATGTCGAGCTCATGCTGTATTGTTGTTGAGGTGGAAAAAAAAACAATGTGCCTGGCCCTTTAAGAGAACAGTCCTCCTCGCGACCATAAGCTGGTGACACGGAGCCGACCAATCAGATGGTTTGTTTTGGTCCCGCCTTCTGCTTCGTGTATCTTAACACGTGGAGGGGGAAAAACACAAACCCAGATAAGGCATGTGACTGCTTTCAGCGCTCTGCTCAGCTGATTGGGAGCTGCTGCTGGATAGAGTGATTGCACCCACCCAATTACTGCTGGGGCGGTGTGTGACGAGTTGTGTACTGTCAAGGCAACAAATACAGTCACACAATGAATTGTCACACCTGCATTTCAGTGTCCCATTATGCAGCACGACATTCTGTTCCATATCTAAACCTGTGAAATGCATACATTATTAGTGACATGTTACTAACTACATTTATTCAAGTGACGTACTATGTTAAAGTAAATGAATTGACATTTTTAACCATTATCAAATAGAATATGAGGCATTGATACATATGTCAATATGTTATAATAACGCTGCATCTACATTACATAGGCCATTGTATACAAATGATTAAATACACTTATTTTACTTTGTATGCATTTTGCAGAAATAATCACTCCACTATTTTAAATGCATGTCATAATGTTATTAATTTGAGATTGTGTTTTATTTCTGCCTAATTTAATAATCTGAGTTCTTGATCCACTCCTGGACATAAAATAATAAAGTTCTAGGACTCAAATGTCCTTAAATGCTCCCTGGTTTAGTACCGGCTTTGCAACAATGTTTTGATCTAAGCATATCCATTTTCAGTTCAGCCCCTGAGGGCAGCCATTGTTGAACATAGATTCTGATGGATGCACAGTGACATTGGAATAAACAGCAGCCGTGGCTGGTGATGACCCTTTATTGAAACCAGGGGCACGCCTACCCATGCCATTACTCGAGTCAAATAGGAAGAAAAACAGTACAGTAAAAGCAAGCCTTATCTGCAGAGCAGGTCCCTGAGTGCAAGAAAGCCAGGCAAGAAGAGTGATACTATCTGATCCATCATGTGACTAAGATCTTTCCCAGGAGACAATTTCTGGATGAAAGCAGATGCTGTTGCTTTTGCGTGGCGTGTTGGTCGGCCCGTGGAGGATGTTATGTTTTCACACTGTCCCGCTCTTTTATTGTGCAGCTGGTAATGTGTGAAGTGTGATTTTCTCAACTTTTGTCAACATTCCCATGCACAGTTTACTGGCAGACCAGCAAAAAAACCCTGCTCAGCCTTGTTTAAGCTGCCCAACCCCCCATCCACACCAACCCCCTTCAATTTAAATCCTGCAGCGAGAGGGACCCCACCCAAAATGTGGAGGCAGAGATCAGATGGCGGTTGTTTTTCTGAACATTTAAGCATTGTATTTATAGAAATGATCGAAAACAAACCCACATTTTAGTTATTTTGCTAAATCTCCCTAACCCTCACTTTAGTTTTTAAACTAATTATGGAAAATTAGATAAGCTGACGCATTGCTAATATAATTATTGCTACCTCTGAAACCAACATTTCAACCTTCTATTAAAACTGATATTGTGTTTGTATTCATAGCTGGTGGAAAAGGAAATGTCTACTTAGTCATTTAGACCAACGCAAGATTCATGTTGCCATCAAATATTAAACTTTCTTTCTGGTGATATATTTGTAATTTGAAGGACACAGACGTGCTATGTGAATAATAAGTAATTAATTCTGCCTCTTTTAAGCTTTTTTTCAAAGAATAAAAAGATGACTGGAGCTGTATGAAAAAAGTCAGAGAAATCAGTAGATGTTTTATTCAGTCATTTAATTCTACTTTCAAAGGTGGAACATTTTGAAAAGTAATTAGTGCGCTGTGTGCTGCATTTGGAAAACAGTGGTGAAAAAAACAAATTGCCCACAAGCATTTCATTGCTTTTTTTCCCTCCCCTGAGTTCCCTTTATCAATAACTAATTAATGTTTCCAAACAATAGCTCCAGGAATAGTGTGTTTCAATCACAGTCAGTTACCCTATTGTCAATGGACTCTGGGGTATACAGTAGTTTTTCATCAGTTAAACTGCAGTTTGGTGAAGTCTTGTTGTCTCTTTGAACACTGAGCTGTTAACCACATTTGTGTTGCAAATCAGAATTATTTCCTCTGTTTTGGCAGAGAACATAACATGATGCGCTGTCAATGCAAGAGATTCAGAAACACAAACGTCACGCATTGTGCAATCTCATCTACTGTTTTAAGTCATTTGCATTCTTTTACTTTCAAGCGTGTGGCTTCAACCTCTTTGAAGAGGGAAAACAGTCTTTGTGCTGGCGCTGAACTCAGAACTTGTCATCTAAACTGAAACTTCCAGTACCTCTAATGTGTCAGGTGCAGCGGCAGACAATGTGTCCCAGCCCATTTTTATTCGAGCAATTTCCCCAGTGATGCAGTCAAAAATTATCCTCAGTGAGTTATTTCTGACTGCGCGCTGCCAGCAGAGGTGATAAGGCTCTGGATGTTGAAATACTTCAAGTTCACTGCATAATGATACAATTTGCTTTGTGTCTTTTTCCCTAATGGTGCCTGACGTCCAGACGCTTTGTCTTCAATCTTCAATCCGTTCCACACCCAAACAACTCCATCAGTGTTTGTACTTGTACTCCATGCACTTCCGAATCACAATTTTATGGTTTCATTCCCGCTGCCATTTAATTATCTACCTAAATCCCTATTTTCGGGGGCTGTTTTGTCACATAAATTGATTGTGAAAATACGTGACAGAGATGCCAAGTTTTCACAGGTTATTGGAAACCACTGTCCTCCTCCTACCCCTCCTCTTTCTGTCTTTTCTGTCAACACCTCTTGATTTTAACCACAGGTACAGCAGGGGCTCAGCCAATGAACATGGCTCCCCCAGAGTTCATCCAAAGGTAACTCATTTGAAGCCCATACCACCCGAGGGAAAGCTTCCTCACCATTATGCACATTTTGACACCACTTTAAACAATATAGTAATAATAGTGGGCAGGTTTTGGATGAGGTGCTGTGTGGAAATACATGTGTTGCATTGTGTCTTTCAGTTTGTCTCATGTTCCAAGCTGCGATGGTGAGTTGAAGTAAATGAACGCTGAATGATTACTGAGCGGCAGCATCAGCTCAGGAGGTAAACAAACCATTTGTCAGGCAGACAGGCAGCCTGGTGACACCTGCCCAACAACTAAAACAGCTCCTTGATCATATTTTCCAGGTGTCCTTGCTTTTTTGTTCAGCCATATTTTATAATTTTTACCTCACAGTTAAATATTACTTGCAGATTTTAGTCGTTAAATATCCAAAGTGGTTTTACTTTTGCAGATAGATCATTAAACAACATTTTTGAGTCAAGAGCAACCACATTTATTTTGTGTTGATTTTAAAACACTAGAACAACAGGGTGCAACACTTTATTTGTTAAATCGGATTGATTTACTACTATGTATTATTTATGAATAAGACTACTAGAATTCTTCACAATTTCTGCTCATCATACTTGCTCTGAGGCATGTTTAGGGTTGCCTTGCTGTTAAAAGGTGACCAGAGAAAAGAGTCATTTTAATTACCAGTGCCAAAGTGCATTTGAACAAACAACCAGACTACAAATCAGTTCCCCTGTGCGGAAACATGCAACTTTGGGAATTCAAAGCATCATTTGGGGTTCATTAAATCTATTGAATAACGAACTCTCGATCCGAAAAGTAAGACTGAATGTTTTTTAAAATGTACATTTGTTTTGATCTATCAATGTGCAAAGCTGAGGCTCAGAGTTAGACGCACTTCTGGGCATGGCTGCCTTTAGCGACAGATGGATGGTGTCAACGGTCGCTAGAAGCTAACTGTTTGCTCTGCTGCGCCACCCAGACCAGCCTATGCACCACAATTGCCCATTTAAGGTTTACTATAGCTACATAGCTAGAGTCAGCACTGCCAAGATTATGATGGGCGTAGCCACAAACAAGTGCATATTTTATAAACTCTATGACTCAACCCCAAGTTGCTCCCAATGAGCAGGTCACCATCAGGAGTATGATTGTGTGTGAATTGGTTAATGAAACTTAAATTGTAAAGTGCTTTGTCCGGTGAGGTAGAAAGGGGCTATAATAATAATAATAATAATAAGAAGAAGAATACAGTCCTTTAACCATAGGCATGTATTGAGTTTGACTTCCAAGTATTACGGTCTTTCCAAATGTCAACAATCAACTAGATGAGTGCAATATTGTTCATACGAATAACAATA